CACCCCCGCTCCCGCCGCCCAAATGCCTAAAGAGGCTGCCCAGGGTGGTTCCTGATTTTTCTGACAGCCTCTTCGAATCTCTGGTTGGTGGGTTGCCGGCGCTATTTCTCGTGAAGAAAATTACATTAATTTAAACACTATTACGAGATATACTGAAGCTTAAAGGGGTGAGACAGTGGCAACTCTTCTGACAGAACAAAATTCTCTGTGCAAGCATGTAGACTAGGAGTGCACGAAAACATTCAGGAGTGGACACCCATGTGACATGGAGACAACAGAGTACAACGGCCTCTTCAGGTTGTCTATGGTGCTCTCTTTAAGGATTAAAGGTGAGAGATAGTCATTTTACTGGAATATCTTTATGCAGTTTCTAATACAGCATACAACTGTGTAAATTTTGAACATATTCTTTATTGCTAAATATTTATTTTACATGCATGCGTGTGTGTATATGGTAACGTGTGCCACTGGGCATCAAAGGACAACTTGCAAGAGTGGATGCTCTTCTTCTACTATGTGGGTCCCAGGGATCCAACTTCTGTCATCCGGGATGGTGACAGGTGCCTTTACACACCGAACTATCTCACTGGTCCACAGTTGTGGAATCTTTGAGAACAGTTTAAGGATAAATAATGATAAAAGAGAAAAAAGGCATGAAGGCCAGAGAGACTCATGGTGCCATTAACTAAGTGACTTTTTTTCATGAAGGGGACCATGTTGGGCTGTTCTGCATAGCTGTGAGTAGCTCACTGTGTACAGGAATGACATATTCTCTGCATTATCTTTGGGAAGAAGAATGGAGACCCCTAGAAACCTGTATTCGATCTTCAGGGAGCTCTGTTTCCACAGCCAGCATTTCCCAGGCATACACATCAGGGTAGTGGGCCTTGCCGAACGCCTTCTCCAGCTCTTCCAGTTGGTGTGCTGTGAAAACTGTCCTACAGGGATCCAGAGATATGCATGAAGTACGTTGGAAACACAAGATCCATTTTACAGACCCACAAAATCATGGTTTTAAAATGAAACAGATTTCCCTGCAGCTTCCTGAGAATTACAGAATCATCTTTGCAAACTGGTGGTTCTTTCTCACTGCCCACCAGTAAGGCTGCTGGGCCTGGCATACATTTTTGAATGCTGGTGTCATAGACAGTGGGGTTGTATCCATCTGAAGAAAAGCAGGCAGAGAGGACAGCCTGGCCCTGTACCTGTGTCTCCGCTTCTTCCTCTTGTCCAGGGTGGGGGACATCTTTGGGTTACTCTTTTCTTCAGACGGACTGTCCCCATCTGTTCGTACAAGGAGAAGAAGATGACTCTCTGAAAGTGAGGACTTTTTCCACTCTTTTTTCTGCATTTTAATGTGAGGGTTAATGTTGTGCACCTGTTGTATTTAATGACATGTGTGAGCATCTTTAGCACTTTCCACATCCCAGGTATTGTGCTTAACATTGTCATGTATTATCTCAGGTATTCTTCAAAGAATTAAAAAAAAAAGATGAAGGCAGCTACAATTATTACCCTGGCATGTTGCACAGGTAAAGTTGCAATGGTGGAGTTGATTCCAGTGTCACATTGTGTGACGACAAA